GCAGCACGGCGATGCAGCTGGAACTACAGTCGCTACGACAGCTGGAGCCGCGATATCCGGGTTGTGTTACTTTTCTTGGAAAGCGTGCCTAAAAGCAGCAGGATGCATGCTCAAGCCAGGCATGTCTGCAATTTCTGCGGTTTTGCTGAGCCTTTGCTCTGTTCGCAATGCTGCCATGGTGGCTATGATACCTTCGCTGCCCAGGCTTCTCGGCAACATAGCAAGCTGTGTCTCTGTGATCTTGCCAATTGCTCCGGAAGCAGCGAACATAACATGACTTTGTCATTCCGGGTGAAACATCGTGAAGACTGCCGGAGATGGAAAGCAGGCAGCAGGTCAAAAGCACTCAGCTTCGGAAGAACAAATGCCCCAAACAGCCATTACAACCTTGGCACGGAACCCACAAGCGCCTACTTAGACCTTTGAAGAGCACCTCTCGATGAAAATGTCAGCACCTCTCAGGTCAGCCGCACTGAGTCACATCTCCGAGTCCTAGCATGGGCAGTGGCTCAGTGACTTGACTTGACTACCTCAGATGCATTGCGGGCATCTCTTCCCCGTGTAGCCACGCAAACAGCACCACTCTTGGCTCTCGTCCAGGCCTCTCTCTCTCGTGTTGTAGCGCAATGCCAGATCATGGGCGACAGACTCCATGTCCTGCAGCGATCCCCACGGTGAACAGTTGATGCACGAACACGTTGCTTGGCAGAAAGTTTCGCAGCAAGCCGACTGACACCGAGCTGTCGGTTTGCAACGGTGCGAGCTCACCAGGACTGTCCGGCCTGACATCTGTGCTCGGCTGCAGTCAACTTCTCCTGCAAAGTGGATGCCCGCATCGTGACTGCCAAGTGACACCTCCAACTACACGCAAATGCCAAGTCGTATCGGTGCACCAACAGCACAATATGCCTCCGGTAAGTGCGAAACCTTGTCTGTTGCAGATGTCAAAATCACAGCTCGACATTGGCAACTGGCAGGTGGGACCTTAAACCCTACAGTAACACCACTCTAATGATACCAAGAGTAATAATAAGAAGAAGAGAAGAATAATCATCGTAGTAAAAACAAATAATGATCATACCCACAATATCTATGATCGTAGCTACAATAGCACTAGCCTTACGGACCCTGAAACGTGGCCGTGGTGGTTGACGAACCCGGCACTCTCCTGAAGGCGCAGCTGGACCTCGAGAACCTGTGGCATTGCTGGCTGTTGCTCGACAGACCACGAAGCACCTTGTACGATCGCAACATGTACAATACCATGATTGCACATGCACATCAAACCACATACACTGGTTGTCATACACCCTTGCGTGCAAAGACGCAGAAAGAAAGAGAGAGAGATATAAACATGTATATATACATATATGTATATATATATATATATACATATACATATATATATATATGTGTATCCACTTCTTTTCTTTATTCATTCTGTCCGCTATTATTCTTTCTTTCCTCGGCGAGGGTGTCTAAACCCCGCATTGCCAGCCGTGCCTCAACATGCCGAAGATCAGCGAGGAGGGCAAGCTCATTGGCGGCCTCCGGGCCGTGTCCAATGCACGCGGCCGCGCAATCAATCGATATCCCATGGAACTTCTTAACAATTAGAATCGGGTTTTAGGGTATGTTATACTATAACTATAATGAGGAGCCCCCCAAATTAGTATATGCAATTGCTTAAGCCCCTAAATGTCACAGCTCTCGCCTAGAAGTCTCTTCCCTGCCTCTGCCATGGCCCAAGCGCGCTGCTCGGCGGCCTTTCGATGCAGCTCCAGACTACGGGAGCTAAGTCGCTGGCACTCGTCATCCCAAATTTTTGTCACCCCCTTCACCGCAGTTTCCTGGGTTTACAGAGAATCGCATGGCCTGGGGTGCCTGTTGAGGATGCAGGGTTCGCGACTATCCCACATCGATTCCGTACGAATTCTAGCTGAGCCAAAGTTCACAGCCTCAAACACAAAACTCTCTACCGACTGATTCTGTTTGGCCCTGCCTTGAATCCTCGCAGCAAATGTTCAAAATAAGAGACCAAACCTGTGTGATATTGCGGACCATGGATTGCGCACAGTTCGCATGTCCCATACCCCAAGCATCAGCTGACAATCGCGTTGATACCAATTAACGCAAAAACTCTCTAAACCATCGTTTCAACACGAAGTAAATCATGGTCCTACTGAGCCCGGCGTTTTAAACCATGGCTGGCGCACCTGCTCATCATTCATCTTGACATGGAGGGTCTTAGGGTCAGTTTAGAAACGATGCCAACAATGATGACCAGAATCGCTACACCTCGAAGACTGCTGACGCCCTGCTTGCTGACTTCCCTGGCCCACCAAAGGTTAACAAACGAGCCCTGCACCCTAAAGGCTAAACCCCAACTCATAAGCCGAATTGTGCTGGACGTCTAAGGCTTGAAATAACAGCTCAAGGACATTTCAATCCAGCAAAACAGGCATGGCCTCAGCTTTGGCCGAATATATCAGCAACTCCTGCTGAGCCTGGCAATGAGTCGTGGTTCGTCTTACCAGCGCGCACGGACTCTGGGCACAACCAAAGAACTTCAGCAGTTCGATCCCTGAGCGGGCCTCGTCAGCCCTGTCGTTAGCTTTGCGACAGCTCTCCTGAGGGGGACGAGGCTAGCTGCAAATTATCGGCCCGACCTGCCCCCCCCCCCCTCCCCCCTCCCCCCCCCAACCACCCTTTGCGTTCCCTTCTAGTCGTCCTCAGCTCTTCACCCAGCGGAATTCCAGCTTTCATACCTTTTATCCGGACCTTTAGGTTTTGAGCTCCATCAAACGAATTAGGATCTCTGACAAATAGCTCGCCCCGATGACACACTCGTTGTGACAACAACTTGCGATTCTACATAAAAGGGCCTCCAGATTTGCGCACTTCTGGCGCAATGCCTGCAACTCCTGGCGAATGCAAAAGTGCAAGACTCGATGTTGATCCTGGGTACTCTGGATACATCCAAGCATGTGAGTCGTTGATCTCGCAAAGCGGTGCTGAGCAAGACGCCTGTCCTGCTGCAATTGTGCGCTAGCTCGGTCAGACACATCGTGCTCCGTCTGCAGGTTGTCGCCGACTCGCAAGCACACGGGCGGTCTCCAAGCTCTGACCCCGTGCTCGAATTATGGCGCGGTCGTTGTCACGTGCTGTCCGTTGCCACGTATTGACCCCACTCACTGCAGTCATACCAAGAATCAGGACAGGAAATGCGCCTGAAGTGTCGACGGCACCACTCATCGGAGTTGTGACCGCTGTCTTTGCAGCCTCGACTGCACTCTGTAGAAGGCAGGCGCACGCATGCAGTGCGTTTTGGTCACGGCAACTAGAAATGTGATTGATGCACACCAAAAGTTAAATGAATCAAGACATGTCTTGATGAATGCCATAGCTGTAAAAAAACGCTATCGCCACGATGCACCACCCACATGTTAGTTCGACTCCTTTTCAGGACTCGTTTACTCAGGAGTCTCTCCTTCTTGACATATCTCAAACGCTACAAATCCCCCAAATCACGGGTCTACATCGTTACGGTGACAGTCATTGCAACTATGAGTTGGCAGGTTCAGGCTCGGGCTGCCCTCCGATCCCGTTCCTGCTCGTGGAGCGCCTTGGTGTCGGCAGTGGATGGGGCTTGGGACTTGCCTTCGTTGCTGCGGACGCTTGTCCTTCTGCCTCTTCGGTGTCGGGAAACAACCTTTTTTTCAAGAGCTTCAGAAGGCTCAAGTGGGCAACCAGGTGGGTCATGCCACCCTTACTGTTACTAAACTTTTAATAAACCCGCAGCTGACACCATTGCCCGATTGAAGGCTTCGCATCGTGGAGTTCCCGTATTTGCAAAGAAATACATCAGATGTGCACATGACTCCATAGATCGAAACGGACACTCTACTATTCCACGCTCTTATGTCTTGGCGCGTTACACTGGTCGTTTGGTGCGAGCCTTGTGGGTTGATAAGGGGGCGGAGCTGCCTCATCGCTGTCGACACCTACCCAGCAACCCGGGAACCACACCGCAAACTCCTGCCGGAGAGACTGCGTACCGACCTAAGCGCAGGCAAGTCGAGGACGGAAGAAGCTTTCCGCTTCAAGCTCATTCCAGTCGCCGGGGTTGCAGCGCGAGCTTTAAGTACATGGCCTCAGAGGACAAAGGGCCAGCGCTTTCCACATCTGCTGCAGAAGGTGCAGCCTGCACGTGCTGCATGCTATGCCACTGATGCTTTGAAGGGGGCGCTAACCTGCTAAACAGCCGCAATTCGGGTCCTCCGAGCCCGAGGCGAAAATCCGTGGCACCCGGCTGAGCCTCTCGTGGGGGATCAGGATCGGTGTCACCTTGGTACTCAATTGTCAATCCGGAACTCAACACTTGCGCTCTGCCAACTTCTTCCGACACGGCAGCGGGCAGGACTGCATTCCTTGCGGGCTGGCGAACAACCACCTGTCGGCTGAGCAACGGGCAATCTTCGGATTCCTGCACATCATGCTTTAAGATTCCAGCTCTGATCGTCAAAGCGAAGCACTTGATGTCTTGTGTGAAGGCCAGCCAACTAGCCTGTACGAGGGACACCAACCTCTGGCGAGGGCATATAGCCTCTTTGAACCACTGTCTTCGATCGGCATTGAGGATCTGAGTCCCCGCATCATTTGAGAGACAACACAAAACCCACCCAGACATGCCTCAAATGCTTTCCACATTCTTACGGACGGGTGTTTCCTTTTTTGCATGAATGGTTGGTCGCCCAACTATAATAGGTGTAAACTTGAACTCGCCGCTGCTACGGATCATCAGAACACTATACTACTATGCAATCTGCCCTGTGGCGCATACGACATTCTACATCAGGCTCCACAACATAAGTGCGGCTTCAAACTCCTTCCAGACATGCCTGACTTGCGGCTGCCAAGCACTACGGTCGTTCACCCCACGAGAGCCTACACTCGGGACAGCAAGAGCCGTCGTCCCTTCTCGGCGCTTGAAAATTCAATCATCGCCGAGACGCCAGGCGCTGCTCGCTCTCCTTCCGCACACCCTGGGCTGCAGTAGAGCTTCGTCCCGTTGCATTTGCAGAGCCGTGAGTATCTGCGCCATAACCCGAACAAGCTCGCATGTCTGACTCGTAAGTGGGCCCCTTATAAAGAAGCTTGGTTTGCTACCAGGGGCGGCCAACTAGAAGGCATGAGCCTGTGTTGGGCATGAGCACTGGGATCCATGCGGTCAGGCGCACCCGCAGTTGGGCACTTTGCCTTAGGAAGGCGCGATGGGAATGCCGAAAAAGCAGAAGGCGATATGGCGGGCACCAGCAAAAAAGTGAGCGAGCTGCTTGGTGATGGGCAGCAGATCGCAGAGGAATGTCGAATCAATTTTCAACAGTTGCTACATCAGTAAACAGCTAGGTCCACAGGCGATCTCGGAAAAGAATCGGCATGCCTGTCCTGCGCAAAGGCGGTAATGCGTTCAGCTGCTCTAACTGTCAGTCATACACGCCCCGCCAACGAAGGATGCATGAGCCTTGCCTGGGCTACAGTTCTGTTTCGTCGATGAATGGTTGGCCACCGGAGCAGCACGGGAAGATGATCAGACTTGAGAAGCACAGAGGCAGTCACACATTTTTGCGACAACCCTCGCTCCTGGTCAGGGACCATCGGCTCTGCACCACCCCTGTGACCCCAGCAGAGCTTGACAGGGAGCTTAGTCTGCGTGGGCTTACACAGAGCCTTGCGACTAGGCTGCTTGGTGATATTCTGAATTCAGGAAGAGTGGTGGCTACGCATGGCGTCCATCCAAAAGTCCTCGCAGACAAGTCTGGGTGCCATGCACGCTTTGCAACAGCCGGTCCAACCTGTACATGTGAAGGCAACATGGTCACTGCTTGTCCGTGCATGTGCTTCTGCAGGAAACGGATAGCTGTATCCGCTGTACCAAGCCAAGGTCCAGTGTGCACATGTGCTGCACGCATCCCGAGACCGTAGCTGACGGGTGCGGGCCCGCAAGCAGCCCTCGAGCCTCAGGACTCGCGAAAACTATGACATGACTCCACTGTAATTAGAGGCTGGAGATCCATCGCAGTGGTGGAGGCCACAGCTGCAATCGGTTCTGCCCTGTTGGCAGCTCATGATGCTTGAGAGCTAGCAGCTGCAAGTCTACCTGATATGCAGCTGGTTTTGCCACAAAAACAGGCATGTTTCCACACGGCTTCCGAGTTCACTGCTGCTCCACTCTGCCCGACAGGTGCCTCTCCTCGTCAACCGGGCTTTGTGACTACATCCAATCATTTATCGGAAGGTGGCACTATGTCAGCCAGTTCGGGCCCCAAGGCCCGTTCCCAACAGTTTCAGTTTTTGCTGCACTAGGAACAAGACCATGACATCTTGCTCATTGCACTCAGCTTTCTCGGATACAAGCCAGCAAAAGTTTAAAATTAGGCCGCCTCCTGCTGCTGGGCCGTCAGCTCCTGCCGCAAGCGGCGACACTCCTTGCGAGACGTTGCTGTGAAGTCTGCTGATCTTGCATGAAGCCGCACCGCTTTAGCTTCAGGCTGTGGACAGCATTTTGTCATTCTTGCTTACTCGAGTCGTCAGCATTCCGAAGCAAGCTGATGCCGAAGCAGTCGCGCAGCTGGCCAAGCAGCCCCGTCCCCATCTCGATCTGTGTTACGGTGTTGCCGACATGAACTTGCAAAACTATGTTAAAATGCTGTCCGAACCTGTGCAGTAGTTCGTTCGTCGCTGGAGATCTGGGACGGAAACGGAGAAGCTCAAACGAGCACAGCGCCAGCACAGCTTCAGCACCACTCTTGCCGCGAATTGCCCAATGCGGCGGACTGCCCAACCACGCGTGAAAACTCCATGGTAAGCTGACCTGCATAACCAAGCGGATGGTATTCCTATGGTACTTCTGCATGGTGATTCATCACCGGCTGCTGTTGTCAGCGACCTGGCCTATGAAGTGAGCTTCTAGAAGGATTCGAGGACTGTTGCCCTGCTTACAGTTGTTAGCGCATCTCTGCGCAGGGAAGTCTACATCCCAAGCATGTTAAAGCGCAGAGGTATCCTTGGTATACTGACAAGTGTGAAAAGGACGCCGGGCAGCCCGTGACTGTTGCAAAAGGCAGAAGTAGCTTCCCGGAGTGCAGCCTCAGGCCATGGCACTCTCTCGGGGCTTTTCCATCTCGGTTGCTGGCCAGCAGGTGCACTGAGCTGTAGTACTGACTAGCAAGCGGCAGAGTTGCCCACTGCAGCCTGATGACGGCAAAGGACATAAGGATGAGGGTATCTTTGGGACTTTTGTCCGAACCAGCAGCAGCAGCAGCAGCAGCAGTCGGAGTAGTAGGAACAGTAGCAGGAGGAGGAGTGGTGGTAGTAGTAGCAGTAGCAGTAGTAGTAATAATAGTAGTGGTAGCAGCAGCAGCAGTAGCAGTGGTAGCAGAAGCAGGAGTCGGAGTACTCGCCGTCGTCGTCGTCGCGTCGTAGTCGTGATGGTGGCCGTGGTCGTAGTCGTGGTCGTCTTCGTCGCAGTAGTAGTAGTAGTAGTTGTTGTTGTTGTCGTTGTTGTTGTCGTTGTTGTTGTTGTCGTAGGTAGGTAGGTAGGTAGGTAGGTAGGTAGGTAGGTAGGTAGGTAGGTAGGTAGGTAGGTAGGTAGGTAGGTAGGTGAGTAGGTAGGTGAGTAAGTAGGTA